CCCCTCCTCATAATCTGTGGTTAACGTATCTTAATAACTACAGTTGCTTCTGTTATCAACCGCCCCTTGCGTCTGGCGGTTAGCTGGCTCAACGTCAACGGCTGCTAACGTGTGCGTGTGTACGAAATGCACCAACGGTCGACGGCGACAAACGTTAAACTGACAAACGACAAAAAAAAAAAAAAAAAAGGGAAAAGTACGGAAGCGTCGAGGGCTCAGTAAATGTTACTCCCCCCTTTTCTCGGATATTTCACTTCATTTCCTAGTTCGCTAGTGTTCAGCTAGCCAGTCGGACCACGCTGCTCTTACCTTTTTTATTTTAATATTTTATATTTTAATAATATTCGTTTGATTTTAACTCCTTGGGTGACATGTGTCTGCAGACATGCCGCAGCTAAACTGACAGCAAATACAAGCAGTTCTCGTTTTAAAGGCTTCCCCTTAGCTGGAGCTAACGAGTGAGTAACATTCATTCATTAGGGTAGAAGAGAGGAAGTGATAGCAACGTGTAAGCTTTTCTGTCTTTTCTTGGTTAAGCCCATTGTTGTTTTTAATTATGCCTGACATTTAAGGGATTAACTCTGGCAGAAATGCTGCAAATTCGCTCTGCTCGACTAAATCACATTTGTGTGTCTTCTTCCCAGCACACACACACACACACCAGCCATGGAGTTCAACAAATTGGTGACCTTGTGGATACTTTGCCTGTGTCTCGTTGGAGAAAGTTGGACAGAGAAACCAAGTTCACCTACACCGGACAGTCAGATTGTTGACAATGGGGTGTCAGGTGAGTAATCGATCAGGGCATTCGTTTAAATTTAAATAGGCTATTTGCACATCCACCTGTTAAACTAAGCACACACACACACACACACACACACACACTATAGTTTGGAGTATCACTGTTCGTGCCACGTCTCGGTGATTGTGCAGACACTATATGTGGCCGTGCTGAGAATAGTGCAGCTGGCATTCTCCTTTAACCCCTCCAACAAAGATCAAGCTGGCTAGTTTAACGGGAGGTAATTGACCTAATGGTTAGTGGAGTGAGTCAGCAGAGGTTTAAGTAGTTTCTGGAGCTTTTTTTGGGTAATAATCGAGGATCTAGGATCAATACACTGTTGTATATTTTCAATACTTACAGTACTTGCAATACAACATCATTTGTTATTCGCCATTAAACTTTAATTGTGCATATACAGCACAGGTTTTTATAAGTTATTGTAGACGCCGCCGTCCGGTATTTAACATTTGTCTACGTAAAGCAATGGGTAGGATTCATTTGAAAGGCAGTGTGGGCCTCTCTTTAGAGCAGTGACTTATGGCGCTACGTTTAGTTTAAAAGAAACAAAGATTGTTTAAACGAGGTCTTTAATCACTGAAGTCATATCTGGCCTCAATCACACTGGTCGAGTGTATCTTAAGACTAGAAAACAGCCGTAAACTAAGAAACCCGACTCTGCTCGGGACAAGTATGAGCCAGTTATGTCATACTGTGACTCGGGGGTTTTTTTTGTTTTGTTTTTTTTGGTAAGTACTAATATTTCACTGTACCTTTTAGCGATAACTTGGCAAACACCCACCACTTGCGATCTTTTGTTAGCACAGCTGAACCGGTTGGTTAAGCAGGAACTGTTGCGACACTGTCCAAGTTGCTCAGACGCGTTTTTTTTAAAGCGTGACACATTATTCTGAATAGAGATAAGATATAATAACTGTTGAGTTACGAAGTGACAAAGTTATTAGACTGTGTGTTCTTCATCTACATGCAAGGCACAGCGAATGACTTGCATAACATGAGCTCTTTAAAAAAAAAAGGGGGGGGGGAAAAGGGGACCTTTTATACAATAGGAGCTAACACTTTTCCCTATGCAAGCAAACAGCTGTATCAAGATGTCCTTTGGAGACAATCCAAACAGACAGCTAGTAATTAAGCTGCTACCTAGCAAGCCTTTATTTGCTATCATTAACACAGTTGTAAAAATGTGAGAGAAGTAAAGGCATGGTATTTCACTTGAGGCAATCAGTGCAAGGTCTAGCCTCACATAGCTATCTTGTTTACATAGCTATTCACAGTCACATTTGGCAGCCTCGCAACACTCTGAAAACCAAGACACTTGTAGGCTACATATGTCTAATCTCTTTGCCAAGCTACACAAGCTACTCAAGAGAGTGAAACTTGCTTGCAGGAGCCATTTGGTAAAACTATTGCATAAAAAAAAAAAAATAATGTAAGTAAACCTTATTCCAGATGGAGGTAGCTGCCACCTGGCAGAGAAATTGATCAAATGTTAGTGAAGGCAAAACATTTTCCCTTTTATACAATACAACACAACCTGATTGCTCATTAATATATATATGAGCAAAAAACAAACAGCTTTAAATAGAAGCTCACACTACATCTTTTTTCACACACAGAGAGGTCGACAGTTTCCATTAGACCACAGCTTGCTGTAAGAAGAGAGAAGAAAGAGGTAAAACAAGACCAGGGTGTGAAATGCTTATAATCAGAAAAGAATCCACCAACTTTGCAAGAGACACAAACAAATGCACACATGTAATACCTCAGATGCTATTTCACTGAGGCCCTGATTTTCCACATTCTTCAAGCACTCACATGGACTGTCTGTGTCTGTCTGATTCTCCGGGCAAAACAGGGCCTCATTCATCTGAATAAAAGAGCAGTTCAGCCTGCCGTGGCTGCACTGAGAACAGACTCTGAGGAATGAGACTGTGTTTCCAAGAGGGCCACAGAGAGACAGAGTGCACGCTGTGGCGAAAAGAGGAAGTTTACATTTCAGGCAAATCCTTTTGTGAACAAAGACACAGCGAGATAAACAAACAGTACATGTGTCTGGTGCTTAGCTCTGGATCCAGTTAGGAAAATCCTATCCCAGCAAGAGGGTGAGACTGTGTTTAAAAGTGATCAGCAGTCTGCAAAGAAAATGGGGGTCCATGGTCATGAGAGCAAAAGAGAGAGAGTGGCGGTTGGGGTGTGTGATTCCTGTGTGGTTACTGTCTCTGAGCTAATCTGCTCAAATAGCCAGTGACTGCTCCATTTCACACAGAGCACATGGCTGGCTCACCTCCACACACTGCCACCCTATGGACAGTGAGTGGAGGTGCAGCTTTTACGCTGTTGCTGTGCTAGAAAGAGGAGGTGGAGTGGGGGAACGAAGGGCTCATGATGTGTAAAACAAAGAAATTTACTTCCTACACTATAATCCATGACATGCATATTAAGATGCTCAATATGGCGAAATGGCCCACAAATCTGCATTTTTTTTTTTCCCCTCCAGTACCGACGCTTATTCTGAAATCAATTATTCTCCTCTGGTCACACTTGGCTGCTCTCAGTGTGTAAGCTAATGATTCAGCCATCTAGTTTACAGATAGATAGTGATAACTACAATAAGCACATCCATTACAGGTCAGAGGGACAAGATATATTATTCAAGCAAATTTTTCAAATCCTTGAATTTTTCCAACTCACTTTGCTCATATTCCTCTTCCTTTTTTTTTCAATTTGGCAAGAATAATAGCAGAGAAGTAATCTCAAAAGCAAGTGTACGGTCAGCATGTCAGCACTGGGTGCGGTGACAAAAGGATGTGTTATTCAAAGAGACAGCACACAGACAGGGCGTTGAGGCCTGTGTTATGAGATTAGACTGTTTTTGTGGGAACGAATGGGTAAAATCAGTCTGTGTGCAGTCGGAGCAGACAGTTTGGAGATCAGTGCTGAGGTCAAGAGGAGCCACTTAGCTGTGTTTTGGCCTTCCAACCCCTACAGCGTTCAGATTCAACCGCTCTACTGTGGGAGTAGATAAAAAGCTTGGCAGCAGTCTTGCAACTGGAGATGGCTACGTTTACTAATGCATGCAGGCTTTATTTATGGCTTTTTAAAGGTACAAAATGGAAATTAATGGGAACAGGTAGGAAGGTGGGAAGCTCGCTCATTAGCCAGAATATATATTAGGTTAGCCTCACTAGTGCAGATCCCCAAAGGTACTAAATCTGGGGGCTTATTAAAAACAAACAAAGCAATAAACAACCCAGACTAAAAACCATACCTCTTTCAATTACAACTAAACCATGAAGGTCATTTTAGATTTTTTTTTCCCCTCCAACTATTATCACCATAATTTAGCATGCGAGTTAATGAGATTTAAACCAGATGTGATGCAGTTTTTTTCCCCTACACACATTATTATAACAGCAATGAGACAAGAAGAATAGCTGTCCCTTTGTTGTCTCCGCTGAGGAGATAATGCGCTGAAATCTGAGAATAATATGTTAGGTGTCATTTATGATTACATGGCAAGCCTGCTACTCTTTGTCTTTATTGTCTGGACTTATGAATCAACTGAGCATGGAAGTGTGCTTCTCATTATGCTGTTGTGACCACAGAGAATTACTACTCAGAAGTGGTGAGCTGGAAATTCTGCAAATTGCTTGTTTGGATGCACATATTCTGCATAATGCATGAAGCATCTAACATATAATAGATGTGTGTGTGTGTGTGTGAGTGCGTGTGTGTGGTATGTGGTATGTAGTGTGTGTGTGTGTGTGTGTGTGTGTGTGTGAAAGATAGCAACCAAGTAGGAGAGACAAGGGGAATGAGAGATAAAGTAACACTGTTGATATTTGATATTGAGCAGAGTGGAAACCTAACATGCAGCATGCCAACTGTCTTTATGAAAGGAACAGCGGGGGAACAGACAGAGGAGGCTCGGTGCAGCATTAGGCTGCTCAAGCCAGCTCGTGGAAGAAGGGTGGATGGAGGGGGAAGATGGATGGGTCGAGTGAGGGAAGGGAAGATGGAGCTCTCTCTGTTCCTGCACACATCAGCAGCAGGAGGGCAGGGATGCGCGGAGGCCGCAGCAAGCCAATTACCAAACTCATTAAGTAACCTGCTAGTCGGCTTTGAACTGCAGCCCCCACCCTCCTCTATATCGTGACTGGATTCTCCGCCGCTATTCTCACACCTTTTTTTTT